AGAATCTTAAGATGATGGGTACTGCAGGGTCTAAAGGTCGTTTCATCAACATATCACAGATGACTGCTTGTGTGAGGCAGCAAAATGTTGAGGGTAAGCGAATTCCTTTCGGGTTCATAAGTCAGATTCTTCCCCATTTCACCAAAGATGATTATGGTCTGGAAAGTAGAGGGTTTGTGGAGAACTCGTATCTACGAAGATTGATCCGACAAGAGTTCTTCTTTCATGCTATGGGTGGTAGGGAAGGTCTAATAGATACTGCAGTGAAGAATTCTGAAACTGGGTATATAGTACAAACAGAGGCATCTCGTGAAGGCTATGGATGATATTATGGTCAAATATCATGGGACCGTGAGGAAATCCACAGGGGATGTGATACAGTTTCTCCATGGGGAATATGGTATGGATGCTGTTGGATAGAACCGCAAAAATTGGATTCTTTGACAATGAAGAGATCAGATTCTGATGAGAGCTATAGATATGAGATTGGTGATGAAAATTGGAAACCAAGTTACATGTTTCCAGATTCTGTTGAAGATTTGAAAACATCATGGAACTATGCTATGTGTTTGATGCTGAAGTTCAGAAACTTGAACCTGATAGGTACCAGCTTGGTATGGAGATCACGACCACCGGTGATAACTCTTGGCCATTGCCTGTTAATGTAGGGAGGATAATCTGGAATGTGCAGAAGACTTGCAAGGATGACACTCGGAGGCCCTCTGATTTACACCCATGGAAATCGTGGAAGCTGTTGATAAGCTTCCGGAGAGGCTTAAGATTGTTCCTGGCGATAACTTGATTAGCGTTGAAGCTCAAAAGACAGCAACCCTATTCTTCAACATCATGCTTCGTAGCACGTTGGCCAGTACAAAGGGCGTTGAAGGAGTACAGGCTTACTCAGGAATCATTTGAGTGTGTTGTTGGTGAGGCAGAGTCTCGCTTCTTACAGTCACTAGTAGCACTAGCACCAGGGGAAATGATTGGTTGTATTGCGGCACAGTCTATTAGCGAGCCCGCCTTGCAGATGACTCTTAATCCGTTCCACTATGCTGGTGTTAGTGCCAAGAATGTCACTCTAGGTGGTCAACGGTTGAGCGAGATCATTAATGTAGCTAAGAAAACGAAGATACCCTATCTCTCTCTGTATATCTGAAGCCTGAGGTAAATAAAACGAAGGAAAAGGCCGAGAATGCCCGGTGTGCTTTAGAATACCCTAGTCTTAGGAGTGTTACGCAAGCTACAGAAGTATGGTATGATCTAGACCCTATGAGCACCATAATTGAGGAAGATGTTGACTTTATCAAATCCTATTATGAAATGCCTGATGAAGAGAGTCTCTTAGAAGATCTCTCTGGTTGCTTCGTATAGTGTTGAATCGGGAGATGATGGTAGATAAGAAACTAATCATGGCTGACATTGCTGAGAAAATTAACCATGAATTTGGTGATGATTTAAACCGCATATTCAGTGATGATAGTGCTGAAGAGTTGCATGATGGATTTGCTGAGGATGATGACTTCCTTAAGAAGATTCTAATATGCTGACAGAAATGGCTCTTTGAGGTATCCCAGGTATCAATAAGGTGTTCATAAAAAATAGTAACGTAAACAAGTTTGATGAGAATGAAGGGTTCAAGGCGGAAAATGAGTGGATGCTGGACACAGAAGGCGTCAATCTGTTATCTGTTATGTGTCGTGAAGATGTTGATGCAAGGAGAACAACAAGTAATCACTTGATTGAAGTTACTGAAGCTCTTGGAATAGAGGCAGTGTGCGATGGATGGTGCGGTCACTTGGAAGATTTCTTTCATAATATTAATGATATGTCTAAAATTTACAAAAATTGGAAGTAAACATTAGGGGCTTAAGGGCCTCTTTGGTACGCATTTGTTTTTGTTATAGAGTGTTTTGAATGGTAATTAGAAGTGTGTCTGATAATTTCTATTTCTTGTTAAGATTTTTGAAATTAGAAATACGAAAAGATATTTGGTAAAAAAAGTATTGAAATATAATGGTCAGTTTAAATATGTCATATAAGAGTTTTTTAAACACAAAAAAATAAAAATGAATGTTCACTACTATCATACCAAACGTTACAGTGCAATAAAATGCACGAAATGTTTTGGTACTGCACAAAATAAAACACTTTCTACAAAACACTTTTTTTCTCCACTCCTGATAATTGATAAAAACAAAAATACCAAGATTGCAAGGGTGCTTCCATTGTTAAGAAAATATTTTGTATTTTCTAGTAATGGATATTGATATAAATATAGAGTTATGGTCTAACAAAATTCGATGATCGGTCTGAGGGACTGAGTTGGCTGAGGAATTTCCCGACCTCACTTACACCGTACACCTTGAATACGTTTAGGAAGTTCTCATATTGCTCCGCCGGAAAATATGGCGCCAATACACAATCGTACGGGCATTCTTGCCCCCAGAAACTTGCATGCAGCGCATGGAACACCACTTAATTAATTTTAAAACAATAAAAATCTGATCGCCGACTGAGGAGAAGAAGAGAACCCGTACCTCTCTCTCCTTAATTCGACTGAAACCCCAATTCTCCTTGCCTAGTTAGCTTGCTTTTGGGACTATTGATAGAGGACTATCCTTTCCATTTTTGTCTTTTACGCACCGTGTGTGTGTATTACTCCCTCGGTCACAATTTTTAGGACAATTATTACGAGGAGTAGTATATACCTATGATACCGTAGGGCGATGTTGTAGACAATGCTTAGCTACTAAGTTACCTATTCTCGTGTGATCTAATAATAAAATAATATATTATTTTTAATAATAAAATAATTCATACATTTTTTTACTTTCTCGAATTAACCATTGAATAAATGTATTTAGTATTTTTAGGTATGAATTATTTTATTATTAAATGTAATGTGTTATTTTATTATTGGGCCACATAAGAATGAGTAGCTTCACCCTACTCACCCACCGTGAGTAGATAAGTATTATCTATATATTGTGGGCCAGTTTACCTATTAAAGGGGGTATGGCGCTGACTAATGGTTTGGAGGCCCACACTTGACCCAATCCTCTATTTAAAAAGCTCACAAAGTCACAATAACTCTCTGTAAAAACTGTAGAAATCACAGCCACATTTTATTTACGTGTTTCAAAATGAAAATTCACAACCACTCCTTTTATTTTTTTATTTTTTATTTTTTATTTTTAATATGTAATTTATTTTTATTTTTATTTTTGAAAAAAAATCATGTATGATTTTGTTTTTAATAAACCCAAACCCAACAAGGAAAACATGACTTGATGGATGGTGCTAAACCAATTTATCTCATGCCTTAATTATAACTGCATTCCAAATACCATCTATATTCGACTAATTATTCAAATATGATTATTTGGACTACAAATTAGTTCAAAATTTCAGTTTAAGCCCAATCATTTCCATGTCCTCATATTGTGTCCAATTATAGATCGCTAACTTTCGAAAAATAATATAAAAAATTTATAGACCGCTTTAGAGTCCGCTATTATTAATAGAATTGTCAAAAAAAATTACCATTAATTACTAAAAAAACATGTTAAGACTTAGGTATTTAATGACACTTTATAATAAATACTTTTCTTAGCTAAGGAGAACTCTTGCCTCTCTCTCCTTCGACTCTTTGCAGATACACCCCCCATCAATAATACTATAATACCACCTTTGAATTAGCTACTTTAGATCTGATATGTTGCTTGTGTTGCACAGACAAGTTGGATACAATTTCATTTTTATTTTTTTTGTATTGATGAGCAAAATAGCAATATTATTTGTTTGTGTTGGTTTGTCAAAGGTATGATGATGTCTACTTCATTACCTTTTTCTTTTTTTCTTTTTATGTTACGAATGTAATGTAGCTTTCTTTGAAAATTTGGATTACACTGTCACATAAACTAAATTATTAAAATAATATTAGGGACGAGAAACGGTGATCATGAGATAACAACAGTCTAATATTAGATAATATTATTATAAAGGGGAGTTTTTGTAATTTTAAAAAAATAAATAGAGATTTTAATGTAATATTAAATAATAAGATTAAATTTTACTTTGTACAGTATAATCAAATTTCTTTTTTTAAGAATAAGATTATTAGATTAGAAGTTAGAGGTATGAAAGCTCGAAACCAAGCTCCCAAAAACAAGGGAAATAACCCAACCGACAGGTTGCCAACTCAATCTTTTAAGCAAAGTATTTATCAGCCAACTTCTCATGCTCTATTTTTAAACTTGCAACTAGTTACTTTTTATTGACGTCTATGTGGATTTCCTTTTCAAATCTCTCTGTCCCCATTTCCAAATGAACCGTGAGGCCATTTACTAAAGTTTTATGACATTAATTTTTCTCTACTTTTTCCTAAAAGTCCTGAACAAATTAACATAATCAATGAGAAACTATTGCAGTAAAAAAAAATGTTGACTTGTGTTATTTGGGAACCACAAGTTTTTATGCAGTCACCTATTAAATATACAATTATAAAAGTTAAAGTTGTGTCTGTGCCTTTTTATCACTGAAAATATTTTTTGAAGTCAATAGTACTTGATTTGTCTAATTAGTTATATCACTTCTTTTTTTTTTTTTTTTTTTTCATTAAATTTAAAATAAAATAAAATAAATAAATAACAAAAAGAGTGATGCATGCCAGACAAATGACCTGTCACCAAAATTATAGGCCCATTTTATGTTCTCTCTTGTGGAATCAATAAATTGAGATAGAAGCTTATAGATTAGAAACCCATCGTATTTCATCCTATCAAAGAAGTTGACGGATCATGACTCCTGATTTTCAACAACACATATATACATGTGTTTAGACGTGATCATATAAGTAGTGTACATGTAGCTGATCAATGATGCAAATGTACCTAATTATTTATAACTTATTTAACGTTTGACATTATATTGGCCCGTATAGACTCCTGAATATGAATTTATATTGATTCATTTATTTTCTATAGGCTGACTTTATCAAACTACCCCATTAACCCGTCCTTCTGCTTCTCAACGCCACAGTTGCCCTCATTTTTTCCTGTAAGCAAAATCCTAACCTGAGTGTACATCTCAATTCGATTCTTTCTGTTTGGTTTCCCAGAAAATGCTGGAAAACAAAAAGGGTATCAAATTTCTGAATTTTTTGAGGCTTACAAGGTGAATTGGTTGTTGTAGGTATGGAAGCTGCATATCGGACGGGGAAGAACGGTGTGGGTGTGGCGTGAATGGGGGTTATGAAGCCGGAGCTAGTGATGAAGTCGATTGTGCCGGTTGTTATGGCGAGTGTGTTGGGTATTTATGGTTTGATTATTGCTGTTATCATCCGGATTAACCCTAAGGCCAAATCTTATTTTACCTGTTCGATGTTTATGCTCGGACCATGATATGCCGTAATCTTTTTTCAAGGTCTGATGTAGTTACACGCTCAATCGGTCAATTTTGTCCGAGTCCGTTACACCAATACTGCGACTATAAATCATGATGGTTGGAATAACAATTGAATTGTTGGTGATACTGGTGTTAGGTTGTGTCTAGCTGCACATATTTTCCTTTTCTATCTATTTTCCTTTTTCTTTTTTAGTTATAATCTGTTTGAAATCAAAAGAATGTTGTTTTTTTTTTTTTTTTAAATGAAATTTGAGGGCGATATGGTGCGTACACACTTTTTCATGTTTAAGTAATCAGGTGGACTAATTTCAAATACTCCGAATTCGTTTCAATTTTTTTTTTTCCTTTCTTTGATTTAAGGGACTAATTAGTAAATTGACTACCAGGTGTTATGGTGCGTGCACACTTTTTCATGTTTTAAGTAATCAGGTGGACTAATTTAAAATAGTACGAATTCGTTTCATTTTTTTTTTTTTTTTCTTTCTTTGATTTAAGGGACTAATTAGTAAATTGACTACTAAATTCCCCTACTAAAACCTATTGCGGGAGAAAATACCAACATGATTTATATTAAGAGAAAAAATTTCACCATAGCTTAAAATTAAATTGTCGTTATCGGGTGCTTCAAGATCTGACCAAACCAAAAGTTATTCTTTTTAAAGTTGGGGCTACTTTGCTTACTTAAGATGGTACACTCGGATACTTTCGGACTAGGCACTTGGCATGACATTGAATTAAGGATTAGATTTAACTCTGATACCAACTGTAAAGAGCCAAGTATTTCGCGATTCAACAAAAAAATTTAAGTTATTAAATAGGAGATTAACATTCAACCCATACGTACCAAGTTTCACTTGTAACACGTAGACCTAAATATCATTTTCCATATCTAGTGGTAATTGTTTGACAAAGCTATTGGAGACAGGATGTTCTGCCACAAATCCTCAATCTTTAACTGAAACGAAAAATAACCAAAAACTGTGACAAGTTAGAAAATTAAATTTAAACTCGGCTCGGGTCGGATAATTTTATTACTTTATTTGTCGTATGAAATATTTCAGTATTACAAAAAACTTATTAAGAATGTGTTCACAGTCTACACAAGTAAATATTGGCCCATTTAAAACCTAAGCTCAATAGTCGACTCATTTTCTTGTTAAAAAAAAATAATAATAAAACAAAAAACAGATAGAATCACAAGTCGAAGTACTATGAATTGTTCCGTTCTCTATTATTTTTTCCAATCGCATTTTTTTATTGTTCTATGATGAAGATTTGATAACCTCCAAAATTCAAATTATTAGACATTGGTTCTATTGTGAGGACATTAAAAAAATCACATGATGGGTTGAAGTTATCATTTGGACTTACCTTCAATCTAGCCCACTTTGAAACATGGGCTGATTAGTTAAAGAACCTAATTCCACTACAAAATATGGTGGACCAACCCAAATTACTCAATTGACTAATCAGGCACACTTGAAAACTAGATTAGTAAGTAGTAATAATCATTTTAAATATATATATATACACATCTACGTATACAGGAGTTTAATCCACATTGGATTGGATGAGTGAAGAAATTTATTGAAATAAGGTTCCCAATGGCTGAGAATAATAGGTTTATTTGATAGGACCCATGGTCCTTCAGGTAGGATTTGATTGCATTGGCCAATTGAGGAGAAATGAAATTCATAGATCCCCTTTTCAGAGCTTGTGACCTTTAGGAGTCCCTTCTCTTTCCAAAGATCAGTGGCCAATTCTTTTACCATTCCAAAGGGGAGGTTTTTGTGAACAAAGTACCCAAGGAGGCTGGTTTTAAGGAGGTTCAGTCCAGCGAGTTCAATGTCATGTGGTGGTGAGATGGTGGTTTTGGAGGCTTCTGGGATATGGATAAATTGCAGTGGAGAGCGAGGAGGAGGTGGTTTAGTAACAATGGATGCCCAGGTTGTGTTATTCTTAGTGTTGGTGACTGGTATGGTTGAGGTTGAAATAGTTTTAGGTAATGGTATGGTTGAGTCTGGACTGTTATGGTTGAGAACTGGCAAGGTTAATATTGGGTTGTAATTAGGGACCTGCAGTGTATGGGATGGTAACTGAGTGGCTATGTCAGCAGTGTTTGGTCCACGGGGTAGAGTAGGGTTTGGGGGTGAGGCTAGAGGAGGGTCATGTGGTGTATGGAATGGTTCATGTAGAGTGCTATTTTTGTCATCAATGAACTTGGGTTGTGATCTGCACTTGGGTGTGGTTGAGAAAGCAACTTTTTTGAGGGGTTTAGCTGGATAGGGTGGTGGATGGGGAAATGCTAGTCTGCTAGAGTGTCCTAGATTATGTGGAGATGGTTTTTTGAGTATTGAGACAGGAGGACGAGAGAGAGAAGTGGCGAGATGATTATGGCCATGGTTGGTGGATGGTGGCAAGAATGGAGGTTTGAGGTGGTTGGGTTGGGGATTCCGGTAGGAGGGTCTACTTGTTTTGGAAGCTCTCATGGTGCTGCTGACTGTTCTTCTTGCATAATTTTGAGGTATTCCCAATTGAGTTGATTCTATTTGGTCATATGTTTTTTTCGATAATTATTTTTTAAAAAAAAAATTCGATAATTTATTTGGTCATATGTTTATTGTTTTCTTTTTTTTTTTTTTTAATTTTTAATTTTTTTTTTTTTCTACAAGTTCTTAACATACTGAAATTGCTGAAATTGAATTGTGTAATGCAGCTACTTGCGTACTGCTTATTGGTGGTGCTGACAAATGGATTTATTTATTTATTTTGAGCTTTATGTCATCTTGAATTACCATGATGGTGTTTGTGCAGCAGTTTTCTGTTTCCACCTTCTTATATTGAAAGTTGGCCCAAGAATTTATGCTTTATCCAATTTAGTTTGATTATTCAAATAAAAAAAGTAAATAATGACTGATTAGTCAATGGAAAGGATAAGAACCTGTATTTATCATATGATTAGCCACTGGACCTAGCATTTAAGCTTGTATAAGTAGAAAAAAGAGTTTAGGAGTTCGTAGCAACAATTTTCTTGTCATGTGTAAAAGCCATTGTGTTGTATGATATAAACTTGTTTTAGTTGTGCTATCTCACAATTATAAATTGTTTAAAGAGTTTGAAAATTTTGCAATGTATCTCATTTTGATGATCTAAAAAATTTAATAAATTTAGTATTATCTTTTTCAAATTAATCTAAAAGCAGAATCATGATCATGATGTGTCTACATGACCAGAAGAGCTTCCACTCCCATAAACCACTATCTATCTACCCTTTGACTATTGAGATGTGAAGAATTTAGATGCCGATGTTCTTTCTCATTTCAAATATTAACCATGCCCCAACCAAAATTTTATTTAAATAAAATGGAAACACCAAATATTAGTACTCATAACCAACGTCACCAACCCTATCCTTCTCGCTTCACTTTCTTGTGCTCTTGTGGTTGTTCAGCAGCAGCAGCAGCCGCCACCTGGTTGAACCCGAAAACCAACTGTTTCACTCCATTAAGTTCCTTCTTGAGATCGAGTATCAGAAACTCGTGTCTTGACCTGATATTGGAGATTGCTAACCTGATGTTGGAGATCCCTAATGATCAGGCTCGCACTACCAAAATTCTGATTCGGATTCGGATTTAGCTTTGTATCTCCAAAACGATTGGCTTCGTTAAATTCATTCCTATACAGTAGTAATCTATAGTAGAATTTGAGGAAATTTTCAGATTGGACTGCTGGAGAAAACGAATCATATTTACAACCCTCAATGCATTCATCTCGTTCAAGAAGGAGCTTGCACAAATCACATGGACCACGCTGCATGCTACCACCGTTACCTAGCTTTGTATCTTCGAACTGCATCTTTCTCTTTCTTTCTTTCTTTCTTTTTCCTTTTAAAAGAAAATAAATATCACATCCTATCATTAACCAATAGATACAAGATGGAATTGATGTAAACAATTAATAAGAGACTGATGGAACAAAAAGATTAAATCCATATTTTTGTTAACAAATTTAATTTACAAAAACACACTAAATTAAAAATAATAATAAATCAAATTAATCACACAAATCTTGCTAGAAAAATTCCAAACGTCAAAATCTTTTATATAACTGTTTGTATAATGCACATATATATATATATATATATATATTTGTATATCTATCTATATATATGTGCATATATACATGTTGATATTAGTTGTACACGTAGGCGCGCAAAAAGTTACACAATTGCGGAATTGGCCCGCGTGCATAGGAATGGAAAACCTAACCCATCCCGCCCCAATTGAAAAGCAAAAATAAAAAAAATAAAAAAAAAGGTCAGACAGAGATCTCTGAGAGAAGAAACTGATCTGTTTTTTTCTCAATAACCTCTTTCAGATCTCTTTTTCCCTCAAAAAAAATTGATCTGTTTGTTGCCGATCCACAAACAAAAACAGAAAGAAAATATATAGAGAGAGAGACATAAGAAAATATCTATATAGAGAGAGAGAATAGAGAAGCGCCAGGGAACTGTTAAGAAGAAGAAGAAGAGAGAGAGAGATTACCGGTGAAATCTGCCGCTGATTCAACAAGAAAGTTGGTTTCTTTCGGTATTTGGACTCCTTACAGAACCCCAATTTCGTATCCCTAACTTTGTGTTTGAGTTTTAGGTTTGGTGTGAGATGAGAGCTTCTTATAACCATAAAGATGTCATATCAGCGTTTTACCGCCTTAGCGTGCTACCTATATACCGTCAACCAGTTAAAACAATCAGTTCACATACACTCAAATAAGGAACTGTCCATCATCATCGATATTAACAGCCATATATAACTTAGTTCTTTTTTTGAACAAAGACACTATGAGAATTTCTGATCCAAACAAGCCCTTATAACATTTGAAAAGGCAAAATTGCCCTTCAATGTTTAATTATTTTTATGGTAAAATATCATAATTCATGAGAAGTCAAATTTGCCGTTATATATATATTCACTATTACATCAGTACCATCATATATATATATATATATATATATATATAACCAATCTCAAAGCCTCCTTCATCCAGATCCGCCACCGCCCATCCAGATTCGCCACCGTCACCATCTTGATCCGTCATCTCCTCTGCGTCTTGATCCGCTGTCATCGCTGCCGCCTCATGATTCGCCGCCATCTTGATCCGCCATCGTCGTCACCACTGCGTCTTGATCCACCGCCGTTGCCGCTTCATGATCAACAACAGCCGTCGTCGCTGCTTCATAATCAACAACAGCGATCGCCGCCCTTCTAAACCACAGCCGTCGCCGTCGCTGCCCTTCTCAATAGCCGCCGTCTCTCCGACGCCAACAACAGCCGCCGTCTTTCCGAAGCCAACAACAGCTGTTGCCTCTCCCCAACAACCACAGCCGCCGCCACCACCATCGCACCGACGCCAACAACAGCCATCGCCGCCTCTCCTTTACAACCACAGCCGCTGACATCGCATCGACCCTAACCCACCATCAAACAAAAGCTTGTGATCCAACCGTGATTCCCGACGACGGCGACGGCCAATGGAAGCTTCGACGAAGGCGACCATCATACTAGACAACGTTGACAGCTAGAGAAATTCCCGACAACGACCCGATGCCGAGGCTCCACTACTCCGGCGAACTGATGCTAACCCACCACCAAACAAAAGCTTGTGATCCAACAGTGATTCCCGACGATGACGACGACCAGTGGAAGCTTTGACGAAGGCGACCATCATACCAGACAACGTTGACTGCTAGAGAAATTCCCGACAACGACCCGATGCCGAGGCTCCACTGCTCCGGCGAGAAAAACGATGATGGCGGTGGTGGTTCAACTAATCACAATCTATATGCATATATATATATATGTGTGTGTATGTGTAGGAAGAAGATAGATTACAGTAATTTGGGGGAGTGGATTTGGGAAAGAAGATGGATTACGGGTTATAAATACACAATATATGTTCGTATATTATACAGAGAGATTAGGAGTTGATCTTTGCAACTTTATTTCGAGCACCATGGTGGTGGCGGCGGCGGCGGCTATGGTAGGGCTGTGAAATGGTGGTAGTGGGTGTGAACTGGTATGAGTATAGTTTCTAGGGTATTTTGGTCAATAAAAAATAGTTGTATTGGGTAAATTGGTAATTGAATGTGTCAAAGGACAATAATGTCAATTCACAACCATTGGGATGTCTTTGTTAATTTTATTAAATTTAAGGGGGTGTCTTTGTTCAAAAACGGCTAAGTTGTATATGGTTATCAATATGATAAATATCAGGGGGTGTCGTTGTAATTATCCCTTAAAATTAATATTCATTTCCTTTCTGAAATTTACTTACTCACTTCTTCAACAAACTATCGAATTATATATATACTCACTCTATCCATTTACCAAAATCCAAAATCGCTTTTTGATTGTTAAAATTATTTTATATATTTAAATTGTTTAGTTCTATGAATTTTTACTTTGTAAATTTAGATTTATGGAATATGGGGAATAAGTAATTTCTAATAAATATAAATTAAATTCAGTATAAATTTTTTTTTTTCAAATAATCTCTATAATAAATATAGATTCTATAAATCAAGAGACAAAGAAGAAAAATTACTCAAAATAATATGTCAAAAATTTAAAAAGGAAAGAAAAATGAGAAAATTTTGAAAGGGAAAAAGATTAGAGTTTGATTCAAAAAGGAAAATTTGACTTTTTTTAGAGGAAATTAAACGAATTTAAAGATTAAAAAAGAGAAGAAATACAAAAATTAAGATATAATTTTAGAAAATAAAAATTTTAAGGGGGACATTATATGAATTTTTTTATATATACATGTAAAAATTTATAAATTTAGTATATGTATTATAGCAAGCAAGACCATGCCAGCGTGCCCCTAGACACACTGGCTCCGCTCCTGAGAACAACCAAGTGAAGCAGGAAGCCGCACAACCACAATAGTACCAATAAGCACAACAATGAGTTAGGCATTTTACGTTTTAAGACCCAACTAGGTCATAGTTGTGTGCTTATTATGTTAAGAGTGCTAAATTAAAATACCTATCCTTTTATAATCATTATAATTCTTTTTTTTGAGGTACAGAAGTCTGCTTCTAATGGTATTCAAAAATTTTGCTTCAATTAGAGGCAAGGGGTTTCAATTTTCTTGGATCTGCCAAAGAAAGACTACCAACCATATACTGAAGTTCCTTTCCCTTCGTATTTGACAAACACCAGTCTAGGATTTACACTTTATTGATCTGGTTTTCCCTTATACCGTTTGTTTGTTTGCTTGTTATTATTATTATTATTATTTTTTACTCGTACTTGTAAGTTTATTCGCACATTTCTGTTCTTGTTTGATTCTTGAATAATAATTTTGTATGGCCAATGCAACTGAAGTGAGTGAAATAGACAAGGTATGGTTCGTTCAGATTATTATTATGCTGTCTTGTTCTTAGGCACAATAAGAGTGAATATATCTATTCATATTTGAATGATAT